ATTCAAATTTTTATTTCCTGGCTGCTGGTATAAAAAATGTTGATTGTGGAGCCAAGCAAATTCAAGCTGTTAAGAATCTCAGTCTCTTTACCATCTGTCATGATGCTGCCAGTCAGGCCAGCGATGAGATTTTGTTTTCTGGATTTTGAGCTTCAATCCATACTTAAGGCTTCAGTTTTTTTATATTCTACAGAAAGTGCTTTATGTCCTTCTTAGTTTCAGCAAGCAGGGCTGTTTCATCCGCATAAGGCAGATTGCTGATGAGTCTTCCTGCAATCTTGATGCCATATTTCTCCTCATACAGCCCAGCCTCCCAGGTAATGTGTTCTGCATATAGATTGAAAATGTATGCAGTTAAGACACATCCCTGGCATACACCCTTCCTGATTTTGAACCATTCATTGTCTCCTTGCTGTTCTGACAGACTGCCTCCTGGTCCAAGTATAGGTGTTGCATAAACACAATCAAATGTTATGGGATTACCTTCTCAGAGTCATCCACAGTTTGTTGTTATACACACAAATGCCTTTACATAGTCAATGAAACACAGACATTCCTCTGGTAATCCCTGCTTTCAGCCAAGATCCATCTAACATTAGCTGTAATATCCTTAGCACCATGCCCTCTTCTAAACCCAGCAAGAACAATGGGGGAGGGTGGAGAAAAAATGATGGAATGTTAGGGCTAAATAGAGGGGGAAATATGTGAAGAGAAGATTGTGATAATTCAGGCAGGAAATTACTCAATCAAGCCTAAAATGTGGAAAGTCTTAATAAAGGAAAAGAAACTTATCTAGCAAGCTATGTGTGTACAAATTTAGTAACAAGTCAGATGATCAAGGCGAGTCACAAATACAAGTCAAAAGTAACTTAGATTTCACTATTTAGAAGTTTAGTCTGTGATGAGGAAATTGAGCACAATGGAGGATTTTGGCTGTAAGGGCTTAAATTTTTTTTACAAAGTTCATGGGATATTCTTCATATCAGGTTATGAGAAGATGCTCTTCCAACATGAAATTAATTATTCTTACATTCTAGACATAATTTCTTATAATTTGAAAGTGAATTTATAAAGAAAATCCTGAGGGTTGCAGAGTGGAGTATACTTGGGGTGGGAGTGGGGAATGTGCGGGGTGGGGGGGATTGTGTACCAATGAAGGAGTTTTTCTTTTGCTTTTCAAGGAGAGGAGTGAACTGGGGGTGGGGGGGTGAGTGGGTGGGGAGAAAAGTGCATCAATGAATGAATGGAATTCCAAAATCTCTGTAGATGTTCATTGAAATTAATAATAATAAAAAGGGGGGAAAAGAAACTATTCTCTTCCAAACTTGCGGAAAAAAAAGAAAATTCATGAATCTGCATTAGTTCTATTAACGAATCTTGATTAAATAGTAGAAATGTAGAACATAATGTCAAATTCTTTTGGAATCCCTATTTATCTACAGCCATGTAGACTTGATTAACCCTCCCAACATTACTTCCCTGAGATGAGCGTTAAACCTTGAACAGAATTGTCCCTTGAAGTCTTCTTAGTTCCAAACAGTAGTTTAGCTTAACCAGTAAAGAGTAGAGAACTGTGATGTTATAGTCAGTAGCAGATCATGCTGCTAACCCAAAGACCTGAGTCTACTGTGAGAGAAAGATGAACCATCTCCTCCATTATAATTTGTAATCTTGGAGACCCGATGTAAGGCTGTTGAGTTAGACCAGCAGTAAGTGAAGAAACAATATTTACCTTGATTTTTAAGATCTCTATGGGATCAAATTGGCAATGACAGCTCATAAGATTTGCAGAGGAACCTTAGAGGGTAATGATTTTATAGGGAATAAGTGTTAAAAGGGAAGAAGAACTTAGAAAAGGAAGTTGAGGAGAGTTGCACAACTTAATGTAATCAGTGTCACTGAATTGTACATGTAGAAGTTGTTGAATTGATGTGATCCTGCTGTGTATATTCTCAGCAACAAAAAGCAAATTATAAAAAGAAAAGTTGTTTTCAATTTACATTATTGACTCCTTATTAATAACATCCTTAGTTTGGGATTTTAGGGAGAAAGCAGTGATGTGGCAAAATTTAGTCAGTCTCTTTCTTTTTTAATTTTTTTTTTTAATTCTCATGTAGGAGTTGGGAATATAATAGTTGCTTCCTATTCTCACAGAATTTAAAATTTAGTAAGGAAGAGAAAGCCAAAGAAGGAAGTAATGGGTGGCTAAATGTAATGAGTGTCTTGGATGGACAATTGAGCGGTGTTACTAGAACAAAGGAACACTGCTGAAGGCCGATTGGAAGCTATAGGATATGTTGTAGGAGTTAACTGGTGGTAGTAGTGGCGTGATAGCATTGTTACCTACCATTCAGATAAAAGTGAGTATATGTATAAAAGTCTAAAGATTTATAGCAAAGCATGACCCATTTGAAGACCTTAAAGAAGTTTAGTCTGACAGTACAGCATAGTGATTTGGAGTTAGAATGCCAGAATCCTTTATCTACCACTTTCCAGCTTTGTAGCAATTCTCTTATTCTCTCTAAAATACTTTTGAGTTATACACATATAATTATAAATGGAGCTTTTAAGAGACTTAATTGTTGACACATGTTGTTACTGCTAAGTACCATCAAGTCAGAATCAACTTACAGCTGACCCTCCAGCAGGTTTCAGAGGTTGGGAATCGCAAATGAAGAGATTGTCTTTCTCCCAAGGATCAGCTGGTGGATTTGAACTGTATGCCTTTGGGTTGACAGCATAGTTCTTATCACTTGGCCACGACAGCTCCCTTTGTTGGCATATGATGTTGTTGTTGTTGTTAGGTGCCATCAAGTTGAGTACAACTCATTGTGACCCTATGAAGAACAGATTTGAATCCTGCCCTATCCTGTACCTTCCTCATCATCTCTGACATACTTGAGCCCATTGCTGCATTTGCTGTGTCAGTCCATCTTACTGGAGTCTTCCTCTCTTTCACTGACCCTCCACCTTTCCGAGTACAATATTCTTTCCAAAAGAATATCCTCTCTTAACAACATGTCCAAAATGTGAGAGAACAAAGCTTTGCCATCCTTGCCTCCAAGGAGCACGGTGGCAGCACCATTTCCCTAACATACCTGTTTGATCTTTTGATCCATTAGCTGTTCAGTGCTCTTCTCCACCATCACAGCTCAAAGACATCAATTATTCTTCTGTCATCTTTATTCATGTCCAGCTCTCAGTTGCATAATTAGTGACTGAAAAGACCACAGCCTGTATCAGATACACCTTAGTCTTTAAACTGACATTATTGCTCTTCAGTATTTTAGAGAGGTCCCTGACAGCATCCTTGCCCAAAGCACTACGTCTGCTCATCTCCCGTCTGCCAGTAACAAGGGTGTTGATTATGGAGCCAAGAAAGATGAAATTATTAACAGTTTCAGTCCTTTCTCCATCTATCATAATTGTGGCCCAGTGGACCTTTGTTTTCTTGATGTTAAGATGTAATCCATATGGAAGGCTATAGTCTTGATCTTCTCAGCAAGGGCTTCAGGTCCTTTTCTCTTTTAGCAAGCAAGGTTATATCATTTGCATAATGTAGGTTCTGTTCCTACAATCTTAATGCCACATTTTTCATAGAGTACAGCTTCATGGATTATTTGTTTAGCATACAGATTGGATAAATAAGGAGAAATGATACAACTCAAATGGACACCCTTCCTCATTTTAAACTATTCAGTGTTCCCTTGTTCTGTTTGTACAAGAAATAGGTTTCACACATTCACAATTAGGTGTTCTGAAATTCCCTTTCTTCTCAATATCAGCCATAGTTTGTTGTGATCCACATAGTCAAATGCCTTCACATAGTCCATACAACACAGATAAACATTCCTCTGGTATTCTCTGCTCCCAGCCAGAATCCAGCTGACATCAGCAGTGATATCCCTGGTACCACAACATCTTCTAAAGCCAGCTTGAACTTCTGGCAGTTACCTGTCCTGTTCCAGCCATTTCTGGGTTATCTTCAGCAATATTTTTCTTGCATGTGATATTAATGATATTGTTGAATGATTTGTACATTCTGTTGGGTTACCTTTCTTGAGAATGGGAACAAATATGGGTCTCTTCCAGTCATTTGGCCAAGCACCTGACCTCCAAACTTCTTGGTATGGACTGGTGAGCAACATCCAGAGACACATCTGCTAGTTGAAACTTGTCAGTCAGTATCCAGTCCAGTCTATTCTTGGGTTGTCTTTACCAGTGCCTCCAGTGAAGCTTGAACTTCTTCCTTTGTTATCATTGGCTTTTTTTTAATTTGCACATTTATATTTAACATTTTGATAGAACGATAGAGGAGATAGTGTGATTATCTTCCTTTGAGAAGGGCTTCCTCAGATGTGGAGTCCTCATTTTCCTGACTGACTCATGATATGTTGTGATTGGCTCAAAAATGAAAAGGTCTGAATGGGTAGTCAAAGGACTAGAGTGGGTATTTCCAAGTGGGGGTATTTTTGGCAATATTAATAAAACTCACACTGCCAAAATCAACAAATACACTAGTCCAGAGGTTTCTGCATATAGTGAGAAAATATTGGGTGGTGGTCAAAAGACTGCATCAGTTATCCTCCATCACACATAAAAGAAGAAACGTATTATTGTCATGACAGGAGTCCAGAACAAAGGCTGCATATTGGAGTGGATTTGGGGGGAGGAACTGTATAACAATGAAAGAATCTTTCACTTTTCAAAAAGAAGGTTGAATGGTAGAGTGGCCTTGGGGGGAGGGATTGTATAACAAGGAAATTTTTCTTTTACTTTTCAGAGAGAAGAGCAAACTGGGGAGGCGGGGAAGTGTAGGGAGAAAGGTACAACAATGAATGAAATCAGAAGTCTCTGTAAACTTTCATTAAAATTAATAATAATAAAAAAAGAAGAAACATACCCTTTGTCAAGACTACCGAGCCATTCTTCTTTAAGCAGGTGTCTTTAGAGACTCCTTCAGCCCTGTCCAAAGATTTGTCCAATTATGTCTCCCAGTATTATTTTCCAGAGGTAATGCCCTGGGATCCCCAATCGGCAAAGTTATATCTTGCAGAAGAAAAACACCCATCTTGCACATCATACCCAAAGTCAAGTCTCTTTACAAAATCAGAATGCATGGTACCATGACTGCTTATTTCATAATAGAAAGAAATTTCAACCCCAAATTGGTTTAACCTGCCTTTCAATCCAAAAGACGGAGCAGCTGCATAAATTAACTCCTGGACAATATGTCACCCAAATCCTGGAGTGGCTCCACATCTGATTTATGGCACATATTAAGCAGCTCCTTGTACATTTCTCTAAGGTGTTTTATTTTCTGAACCTAGCAGATTTCTTTTTCTTGAGTTGCTATAAAACCTATTCCTCTTTGTATTTATGTAGCATTAAATGTTGTTTTTCCTTCCAGAGAAGACCTGGATGCAACATGTAATATTCAGTGCAGATCCTTATTCTCCATAGATGCTTAATATACATACGCATATTTATTATATTGCTTTCTTCACTGAGATTTCTCTCATTCTCTTGAATCTTTTCCGTTAAAGCTGTCATTTGTTTTATCAGCTCCAGGTATTCCTCCACAGCACTTGCTTTTTTAAATTTTTTTTTTTTTATCTTAAAAGAAAGAGCAAGTTCCAGGAGTTTTTACTGTGTGAATAACACAACACATAAACCCAGGCTGAGAAGTCCCAAAGGAAATGGTGGTCACGTTTCATTGCTAGTTGTCCTTTGGTCCTTCATCTTCTGAGCACTTGTCATATTTTTAAGATACTAGACATTTATTCTGATCACAAATCCAAACCAAGTGTGAATAAATAAATTTATTCTCTTAATACTTTCTCCTTGTGTTCCTTTAAATAGGAAAAAAAAAGTACTAAATGTCTTCCCACAGCCTATTTGGCCAGAATTGTCCCACCTATGATTTTAAAAACAGACTGCAACTTGGTCTTCCAAAATCATTCTTCAACTACAGCTCGTTTGTTAACTCCAAGACATGAGTCTTAATCCTATTGGTACTGACAATAGTCTCCAAACGGTGAGGAAGGTAACTGGATTGAAGGCAATTGGGAGAGATCTTCAGCAAACTGAGGACCACTGGGAAACTGTGCAGAAGCAAATCTTGTCAATAAGATACCAGCTCCTTCAATTAAAGCTAGAAGAATGCCACCCATCGCAGCTGACCCAACCATAGCCACCGGTCCATTTCTTGCGGCCAGTATGGCTCCTGTTAAGGCACCACTTGTGATGGAGTTCCAGGGATCTTCTTTTCCTCTGATCTGAACCACACTGCAGTCAGTCATGGAAAACAGACCTCCCCAAACAGCAAAGCTGCCTCCTAACTGTGGAGCCCTGGTTTTAATAGCTGCCAAACTCCCTCGTAGTCTGTGGCTGACACCCACAGGAGAATTACAGAAACCTTTGATTGCTTGAAAGATGCCACCACCTATGGTGCCCATCATAAAGGCACCACCACAGTCATCCACGATTTGCCAGGGGCAAGGCTCTCGTGTATACTCCTCCTTTTTTTTTTTATTTTCATGTAAGTTTACAGAGACCTTGGATTCCCTTCATTCATTGTTGTACACTTTCCTCCCAGCCCACACCTTTCCCCTAGTACATTTTTCTCTTCGAAAAGTAAAAATAAATAAAGAAGTAAATTTTTTCGTTATTATACAATCCACTTTCCCCGAGTCCACTCCACCATGCAGCTTTCATGCTGGACTCCTGTCATGACAATAATGCCTAATCATAAATTGCTTCCAAACAGTTCTTTCCCTCATCTGTTTCAATGCAGTTTATGTTATTTATCCCCTCTTCATTTCCTCCCAATTCCGATGTCAGACCTGCTTTACAACAGTGGCACCATGCAGTATTTGTCCTTTTGTGACTGAGCTGTTTCACTCAGCATAATGTCCTCCAGGACCATCCATTTTGTATAATATTTCATGAGTTCCTTATTTTTCAATACTGCATAGTATTCCATTGTGTGAATATACCAAAGCTTCTCTAGCCATTCATTTGTTGATGTTCCCAGCTCTTTGTTATTGTGAACAAAGCCGCAATAAACATGGGTGTGCATATATATACTTGGGTGGCAGTTATGGTCTCTTTGATGAATTGGTCAACTATGTCCAGTAGTTTTCTTGCTGAGTCTTTAGGGTTTCCTAAGTATGCTATCATATCAGCTGCATAGATAATTTTACCTCCTCTTTTCCAATTTGGATACCTCTTATTTCTTTCTCTTGTCCTATTGTTACCGCTATGTCTTCCAATACAATATTGAATAGGAGAGGTGATAATGAGCATCCTTGCCTAGTTCCTGTTCTCAAAGGTAAAGCTTTTCTGTTTAGGTAGGTTGTTAATTTCTAAGTATCCATTTTCTCTAGGTTTTCATAATTGTTTGAGTCTAGTAATTCTTAATATTCTAGTGTTAGCCTTTTTATTTTTGTTGTTTCTGTTGTGATGTTGCCCATTTTATCTCTTATTCAGATGATTTGTGTCTTTTCCTTTTTTTCCCTTTGTTTTGCCTAGTGGTTTGTTGATTTCATTGACCTTTCAAAGAATGAACTCCTAGTTTTATTGATGGTTTCAGTTGTTTTTCGGTTTTCTATTTCTTTTATTTCTGCTCTAATTTTTATAATTTCAAGGTTTTTTTAGAGGATGTTCGTTTTTCTTGCTGTTCTTGTTCAATTTGTTGGATATGTTGGGTTAGAGAATTAATAGTCATTTTTTCCCTCCCTTTTGATGTGTTTGCTTATTCCTATAAACTGAGCTCTGAATACTGCTTTGGCTGTTTCCCAGAGGTTTTGGTAAGTGATGTTTTCATTGTCAGTTGTTTCAAGAAACCTTTTAATTTATTTTTTTTTTCTTCTGGCACCGACTCATGTTCAAGCAAGGTGTTAATCAGCTTCCAAATGTATGGGGTTTTTTTATCCTTTATTGTCTTGTTACTAATTTCTAATTTTGTAGCATTGTGGTCTGAAAAGATGCTTTGTATTATTTTTATGTTTTTAAATTTATTGATGCTTGCCCTGTGACCTAAAATGTGATCTATTCTGGAGAATGTTCCATTCACTTTGGAGAAGAAGGTGTACTGTGATGTTTTGGGATGCATTAGCCTATAAATATCTGTGAGATCGAATTGGTTTATTGTATGGTTTAATTCTTCAGCATCTTTGTTGAGTTTCTTTTTGGTAGTTCTATCTTTTCTTGAGAGGGGTGTATAGTAGTAGTGTTGTCT